TCTCTACTTTTAAGATCAGGTTTAAAACTTTCCTTTTTGATTAAGCACATAGTTAGGGCTGGATCAGGTGACCCTGAATCCTCCCTTAGTTATGCTGCAATAGTTCTACGCTGCTGGGGGACTCCTGAGTATTTCTTCTTCAGTCACCTTTCTCACTCACTATGTGTTAATAGACCTCTCTGCTCTCTTCCACAGCATGTCTGTTATTCTGTCTTCCTTCACTGACGCCAACTGGTCGCAGCAGATGGCTGCCCCTCTTGCTCATAGGGGGTCATATGATTGTTGGGTTTCTCTCTATGCATTGTTGTAGGGTATACCTTATAATATAAAGCGCCTTGAGGTGACTGTTGTTGTAATTTGGTGCTATATATATAAAATTGAATTGAATTGAAGTACCACACTGACAATTAAGTATCATTTAATTATCTGCATCTGGGGTGGATAGAAAAAAATGATCCAAGCTATATTTTTTATTGAGTTTAATTCATGCTGCAGAAGTACAAAAGGGACCAAGCACTCTAAAAACTGAGGAGTGATATTATGCTCATTAGTTCTTCCTTATTGCAAGAATGGATCAGAGGGGGACCATAAAGAGCAGTCAGTGAGGTCTGTCCCGAAATAGTGGATGGTAGAGGATATGTGTACATATCATATTTTTATTGTTAGCTTGCTATTTACACAGGCACTGTTGCCAAGTAACAAAATAAAAAAATATGATAAGTTGTGCAATTAATTATTTCCCACAAGGAGTAACCTTCCCTGTGAAGGCCAGCAAGGTGGTGCGCTTTTATGTGGAGACTGCATATCTCTCCTTGTGCCTCTGTGGATTCTCTCTGGGGACTGCAGTTTTCTCCTCTAACTGGTGACTGGTGAACGTAACCCAGAATGGATGTCTGCATACCTGCCTAGGTTGTACCTCCCTCTCAAGCTATGGCAGGACAGAGTCATAGTTTGAGAGCACCCTTGTAACCCTTCACTAGATAAGCAAAAGAAAATGGTTGGATGAAACAAAATACTTACAAAAGTCAAGTGTAAACTGTAGTGCATTACTTGTTTTGAGTAATGACCCCAATCTTCAGGTTTTACTTTTAGTTAAGCTATGTTTCAGCTAGTTTATAAATAAAAAAAATAAAGATTTTTTTTTAGTTTTTAAATTTCTGTATTAGTTTCACTATTTAAAATATTTAAAATAAGTATTTTAAATGGTCAGTCTTACAATGTTCTGTATTGATGCTTCAATACAAATGAGACCTTTTGAAAACAGCTGACTCACTGACACATAGACACATCCACATATCCCCCCATCTATCTCTGTCGTGGGGGAACTGGAGTCTATGAGCTACATGTTTAATGAGAATGGAATATCTATATCATTAACAATATGCATCAATGCCTCCAAACCCTAAAAACTAAGTGAATCTCCCACTTTAGCTCATTTTGCAACCACATAATATAATTTCAGTGAGTGTTTTTTCTATAACCTAGTTTTTAATGTGTTTTTCACTTAAGTAAAATAGTTTTGTCACGCTGAAGTTTAGTTTATTTTTAGATAACCATACTATCCTTAATCCTACTGCCTTTGATGGGCATGGAAGATGACATACTCACTGTAGACATAAAGCAGTGGTCCATGTTTTCATCAGAAAAAAGGATAGCGTCTTTGATAAAGACAGCACTCGCTCTCAGGATGAAGGAGAAGAACAAGTTCATGTGGATGTAGTTCCTGGTGCAGTGAAATTTCCTAAAGAGTAGAAGAAAAAAGAACCTTCAATTAATCTGTTTGGATAAATGTTAATATACTATTTTATTTCAGTGTGAGACATTTAGTCTAAAAGAGTCTAATATTTTTCAATGAGACCTCCAGCATTACCTGAAGACAGTGAAGACAAAAATAGCTGATATAAGAGAGATGAGGGAGGTAGCGTAGCCAGCAGTGTACACCTGTTTGAAGTTGGAGAAATACGTTGTCTGAAAAAAAAAAAAGAAGAAGTGAGTGGGGGTTAAGGGAAGGGATCTCAAAACTGCACTGTAGGTGGCAGACAGCTAGTGTTGTAAGCCACCGCTTTTGTTCAACAAGCTGTCCACAGTGGACATAGATGGCTTATTTCACTCCTCTTTCAAATCATCTGCTTTCTCTGTCCAAAATGTGAACATTGGCATCCTCGAAAGAGTGACCATTTCCGTTTTTCATTCTGTTTCTCGCTAATTTGTGCCTTACCTTCTTTCCTACCCATCTTTGCTGACTTGATGAAAGCCCATTTGGGATAACCACGTGTTTTGAGAGCTTTCTTTACATGTATGTGTTCTTTTTATTTCCCTTCTGGCTTAGTGGGAACGCTTTCTGCCCAGTGTTGTAGGGTGCTGATTACTCCATGTCTGTGCTCCAGAGGGTGGTGGGAGTCAAAGAGTAGATACTGGTCTGTGTGTGTGGGCTTGGGGTAAACTTAAATGCTGACTTTTCCATTCTCCCCAGTGTGCACAGCACAGTCCAGAAATGGCAAACTATTATCCCGGGAACCTAAACAGACACCAGCAAATATTAACCTAACGCTCATTCACAACCATCAAGTGTTCAATAATGTGACGAGATAATGACCCATCTGCTGTTTTATTATGTTTGTCTTTATGAGTTGTTCATTGAATAATGCAGCTACTATATTTGATGTGACCTGAACCAAATTTACTGTAATGTAACCCTGGAGAAATCTGTTTAGAAATAGGTGGAGCAGTTTCATTATTAACACTGATGACCAGAATACCAGCAACTGCATTAATATATTTCACCTCTCCAGTTATCCGTGGCTACTTGATTAATTAGGAATCACATTTAAAACATGCTTGTTCTTGCAGTCCTGTGAAGAAAACGTAAAAAGCATGTTTCACAGGATTCCACACAGTTCTCGCCCGGATTGTTTGCACCGGCCAGCCCCCCAAAATTTGCCACCCCCAGGGGCCTCCTACCAGAAAGACTGTCCTGTGTTGGTAATATTGTAATAAGGTTGCAGCAAAGCTGGCACCAATCCATGGACAGATCACTGGTGCAGCTCAGAGCCAAAATAGAGACCGGAAACACTTCACACTCTTACATGATCTAATTTGATTTGGACTGATTTGTCTTTCCTGAACAAGTTAACTTCATTCTGGGAGAGTGAAGCTTTATGTCAGGGGCTGGGTCTGTGACCCAGCATTTTCAGTTCGCTCTGTATTTTTAAGTTTTTATGTTAAGTTTGTGATTATAAGTTCTTGTGTTATTCTTATTTAGGGTCTAGTTGAGTTTCAGTTCAGCATGTACTATCATCTGTGTCCTTGGTTTTTGTGTCCTGTTTCTTGTCCAGTCTGTCATGTGTTTTATGTCTGTGTGTTCCATATTGTCAAGCTTGTGTTGTCATGTTTACATCCTTCAATGTTTCCTGATTTATTTTAAAAGTCTTATGTTTCTTTGTTCCATGTGTTTAGTTTTACTCTTCCCCTGTGGTGTCATTATGTTCATTTGAGTCAGCTGTTTCCCCATGTGTTTCCACTTCCATGATCACCTCCTGTGTGTATTTAAGTCCTGTCTTCCTTTGTTCAGTGTCAGGTCGTCTGTTTTCCTTCTCTCCATGTCACATCAGGTTAACACATTTTCATGATTCTGCTCAGTTCATGTTCATGATTTCTCGTCATAGTTCCTTGCATGTATAATTATTTTGCTTTATAATGTTCAGAATTATTTTCATGTCATGTTTGTTATAGTCAGTCCTTCACAGTTTAGGTTCTAGTTTTAGTTTACTCGCCCCTATTCGCCATACTTTATTTTGTAATGATGTTTAATCAGCCAAAATCTCAGTTAATCTCAGTTCCATCTCCTTCCATGTCTGCACTTGGGTCCTCCTCCTTACTCCGCACACAGTCAGCTCCCGCTGACCGTGACGCTTTAGGCTGCTTCTGCTCAGCTCTGCTGAGAATTATTAAAGTGTTGTTTGGGACTTCTAGTCAACTGATCAATTGATAAGTCAGTTAAAACGTATTATGGATTTCAAAATCAAGTACTTGGTTTTCATATGTACATATTTTCAGTGGTATCACCTTTAATAGCAGGAAATTAACTAGACAAATTATTATTTTATCTTTCTCGTTTTTTGCCAAATTTTTCAAGTAAACTATATTTGACAATAGCATAATAAAAATAGAAATTCTGTTTTTGGTTATGCCACCTCAATATTTTTAGTTGCCCCAATATGACCAGCTCTATGAAAAAATTCTGGAGACTCCCTTGTTTATAGATAACGACCGCTCAATTATACTGCAGATTTGACATGTAGTGCCATCATTTTTAATTACATATTAGATATACATATGTGTTTTGATTGTTTCATATTGTGAAATGTCCGGCAAAACAAACTAAGTATATTAAATTTGTGTTACTCAAATGCTAAATGAAAATTATCAGTAGTTTTGTGCAGGATAAACAGGTTAGCTAGAAACATCTGCTGATATCTTGTTAAATTAGGCTTTGTAAATCCAAAAAGTACAGCAGGTCACCTGATCACAGCCTGTACACAAAGACAATTTACTGAAGCTCACATTAGAAAATATTGTGAGTTGTGATTCGTGTCCCCACACTGAGCTACTACAAGTAGTCTTAGGGTTCACTCAGCTGCTGGATCCCACTTGAACTCCTTACTGTATTTTTCTGTTTATATGTGGAAGCAAAGTCACTCTTTACAATGTAGGCAACAGAAAATAGTTATTTTTTATTCTTTTTTACTGCTTGTGTCTTATATAACAGATTAAATCTGACCACATTCATTAGAATTAGCATTTAGAGTCAAATATCATTTGAATTCTTATGCACTGCTATTATTTTATTATTATGTTTTAGTAGCACAAAGTTCAGTTACCCTTTGTACAAAATATCTGGTAGAATTGTTTTTCAAGGAGCTACTTTTAACTTTATTTCTTTGAGTACATTTCAGAGCACCACTTCATTCTCACTTGAGTAAAAAAAAGTTGATTCGGTACTTAAACATTTACCATAGTATTTTTATAGTATCTGTACGTAAGTAAAGAATATCTGCACTTTTGCCACCTCTGGAATGAACATAGCAAACTAAAATAATGAAAACAAACAAACCATAGTAAATAAATCACAATATTTACAGACCCAGATGGTCTTCTGCAAGGCTGTAGCTGAAAAATGTGCAGGGTGCTAAGATCATTAAAAAAAAACTTTAATATTTTTATCACAATGAATTCTCTTAATATCAGTAGAAAAAAATCCAGCAAATAGTCTTGTATCTCTAAGTGAGAATGAGCAATGTTTACCTCTGGTTCGATTTCTTCATCCTCTGGAATCTTACAGGCCTCTTCATAGGATGGGTAGAAGTCCGACCATCCTTTCTCAGTGCAGTTCCTATAGATATAACCTAAAACAACAAAAATACAAAATACAAAAATACATGAAACTCAGCGGTTTCTGCCAAGGCAAATACCACCAAAGTGTGGCATTTCAAATTTGCTTGTTATGTACAGACAGAAGTCTCATTCATCCCTTTTAAATAGGATCCTTTCTTATTTTTTCAGTCATTCACATGTCAGTCCTAAGTAGCCTAACAAATGAAAAAATGAAAAAAGGACTTTGAGTTTAGTATTTTCGTTTTGCTCATTGTTATAGTTTCTGCATAGTCTGTTCTTTATTTACATATTCTAGCTATAGTTTCTATTTTTTAGTTTTCTGTGATGTTATATCCAGATTATGTTTTCTTTTTGAAGTTCAACTTATCACTTATTCCCCAAGGTTTTTTTTTCTTTCCTTTCTGTGTTCTCTGTTTCAAGTCTGCATTCCTGTGTCCAGTATGGAGGACCAGAAGTGCCACATGCATGAAAATAAAGAATGTTGTGCTTCAATAATGAATTGTGCAATAAAATATGCATTAGTAAATTCATTTAAAATTTTTATTTGTTTATTTATTTAAACAATTGTCCATGTACACAAAAAGTCCATTTGAACAAAAAGGCAAAAAGGTTATTGTGCCAGGTGTTATTCTTGGGAGTTGAAGAGCAAAACTCAAACAGTGAATTCACTTTAGATTGATAAACTGGAAAAAAAATTCCAATATGTGTTCTTTGACTCAAGACTTTTGCACAGTGCCGTTGTGCAAATTACCAGCAACCAACCCCCTTTCTTCCATTTGCCAACCAAAAAGCAAATGGAAAAAAGTGTAAATGGACCGGAATTAGGGTTATATCCTTTGCTGTGTGCATCGGCACGTGCATTTTAAAAACTGGGACACAGATGCACAATAAGAAAACATTCATCCATCCCTCTTATACACACCTCCCTATAAACACATGAATGCACATGAGCACAAATATTCTGAGAGTTTATCAGAAGAGATACTGCACCACAGCTCTTAAGATTCAGTGGGTTACTCCATCTTCCCGTTAATAGTGTGAAAATACACCTCCTATGAAGCAGGCACATGACAACCACGTGTAAACGCTGATAATATTACCACAGATACAGTACATAACTACTAAAAACAAAAATAAAAATAGCTTCAAATACAGTCATGACAATAAAAGAATATGACTTTAAGGACTTAACAACATTACTTCAGTTATAGTACACCAACATCT